GTGTGACGTGTGTATATATATCCAAAAATGATCTCCAAAGTATCGGTGCTTAGTGTATGTCAAGCATCGGTGACATGGCAGGCCACGACATAAAAATTTAGTAATATGGCCTAAATAGGTGTACAAATTGCACCAATCATTTACAAATTTACATTTTACATAATACATTTTGAATAATAACTAAATGAACATCATTTGTTGAGAAATTTATGAATGTGTCATTATAATTAACAAACAAAAATATCCTTAACTGAATATCAAATCACACCCTATGCATTACATTATATTACTTTTTGCATACAATTTTTCAAAAAACAAATTATTTTACAATTTTTTTTTATGTCAGATATATTTATTATCTTTTCCTCCTAAACTCTAACACCAAATCAACTAAAATAAATTTCAGTAATTTATTAAAATATTGAATATTTAGAAAATACTTCATTAGTCTAATAATATAAAACAAACAACAATTCTCAATTTCTATCTTTTAATTAGAAAAATTTTCATGAATAAAAAATAAATAAATGAAAATGATTGTTTATATGAGTTGTTATTTTGTAGCTTAAAATTAATTTCTTATTCATTTTAAGTTGGGTCATTTTACTTAAAAAAACTGTTAAGAATGCATAGGTAAACTTTTTCTTATAGACTGCGGGTGAAAAAGCTTGACAGAATAAAAGAATCCATAAACATAACTAATAAAAATATGTAATTTTGTGTAAAGATGAAAAATGAAAAAAAAATTATGTAAATAAATGTAGTCATGTATTCCAAGCTAATTATAGTCATAATTGAAAACAGAATGTGAAAAGACAAATTCTTGGCATCATATATCTAACTTAAAACAAAAATAAAAATCCCTAATTCCAATTTTATTCTAGATTTTAATTCTCAAAATTTTAAGAGAAATTTTATGCTTTGGAATAACATATTTAAAAACTACTTGAACTTAAAAAATTCAACTTTTTGGATGTAACAATTACATGTATTTTAATTAAGGCTTTCTAATAACAATTCTCATGTATTACATCAAAATTTATCTACATTATATTAAAAGTGTGGATGGTGGAGAAACTTTTAAATACCAAATTTACTCCAACATATTTAATTATATGCCCACAGTACCCTCGTAATTGGAATACCAATTTAATTAATATTTATCATTTGGTTTAGATTTAGTTACAAATCGAGAGGTTGCATTAATGTATTAATGAGGTAACAAATGTGCTAAAAGTTGCATTAATATATTAATTGGGACATTCGATCACTCTTAAAAAAATTATTTTGTACCAAAAAATATTATTGTAATCATATCATTACATTTTAGTTTATTCAACATTTTCATATTATATATATAATTTCATAAAAACTTTTATATGCATATACGCAATTGTAAATTTCCCTTTAACAATATCAATTACCTCTATTATTTTAAAAAATGGCATTAGTAATTCAAAAAAGTACATATATCATTCATCTATACATAAGACATGTAACGCACGTACTTACTACTACTATATGTAAAAACAACAAAAACAGAGTAAACAAGCTTAAAAGTTAAAACATTTACATATAAGTAGATAAATATTTTCCCCCTCAAAGAATTGGTATTTAAACATTTCTTCATTCATGTTATTCGTACTGCATGTTGAATAAATGAGACATTGGAATTTATTACGAGTCTCTTTGATGTAGATTTGTCAAGAATATATTTTGTCAAATGTAATTTTTTTAGAATTTGTGTTTAAAAATTATCAAAAATTTGTGAATCAACTCACAAATTATTTTATTGAGAGAATTGTAGTAAAAACGAGTTTAAAAATTTTAGTTTTGAAGAATCTGTAACAAAATAGGAGCTAGATATAAGGAATAATAATAATAATAATATAATAAATAAATAAATAAACACCTTTAATTCATGATCCATTGAAAATAATAAAGATTAAAGAGAATGAAATTGTTAATCTTCCATTTTGTGCTTCATTTACGTTGGAGCCCTATTTGCATCCTTAGTGAATGGCTTGAATGAGTAAATGAAACATTGCAATTAATTAAATATAAGCAAAGTAGTAAAATTCATATTACCACTAATATAACGTAAATAAACATACTTTATGCATCAATTATCCCACTAATTCACTAATTAATAACTAAAACATAAATTAAAGCAGTAACTCACATATTAATTCAAGCATTAAACTTCAATGCAAATAACTGATATTCAATCCGTTGAGTTTAATGACTATTCTTGTACTGGCGTGTTTGACTTTGCTTGGAAAAAGAATCAAAGTGGAACCATGAAAGAGAAGGAAACAAAATCAGCATGTTTCATTTTTCGGCGTCGCGTGGATTTTTTCTCGTTTTACATGTTTTATCCTAATTGGACTAGATTTTCTTACCTTTTATGACTCCACTAGGTTTTTGGTTGTGGCTTATAAATTAGAGGCACCTCTTTTCAATTTTAATTGTAACAGTTAGCTAAATACGCTTGTATTCTCCATATTGTTCAATAAAAACATTGTTTTCTCTGTGTTAATTTTCTTTGTTCCTCCTTTACAAATTTAATCTTGTTTTTCCGTGTGTGATCTAGTATACTTCAATATTGTCATTAAATCTCGTTCCTTAAAATCTAGTTTGGCATCAATGTGTGTTATTGGAGTTTTCATGCCCAACAAGTGGTATCAACGCTTGGTTCTTTTCGTAGATTGGTAGAGATTCTTTTGGGATGGCGGAAGTATGATGTTCCACAATTAGATCGTAATACAAGATTTTCTTTGTGGCATGTAAAGATGATGGTTGTTCTGATGCAGTTGGATTTGGACGATGCGTTGCTGGGTTTTGAGAAGATGCCAGCTGATTGGACGCTGGAGGAGAAACAATGAAAGGATCAGAAGGCTATGTCGTTGATTCAACAATATTCTGTAGGATGTCTTGAAAGAGAAGACGGCTGCTGCTTTGTGGTTGAGACTAGAGCAATTATGTATGAATAAAAGTCTTACTAGTAAACTGGATTTTAAGCAGAAGTTGTATTCCCATCGCATGGTGGAAGGAGGATCGTTGGAAGACCACGTTGTCGTGTTCAAGAAAATAGTTGAGATCTGTAGACGTTGGAGGTTAAGTAGGATGAAGAGGATCTTGCCTTGATTCTATTGTGTTCGCTGCCTTGATCTTATGCGTCATTTCGGGATACTATCTTGTATAGTCGAGATACTTTGACTATATATAAGATGTCTATGATGCTTTGCACTCAAAGGAGAAAATGAAGCATTTGTTTGGAGCTACATCAAGGGATGGGGAAGCTCTTGTATCTCAAGATGGTTGACGAAGAGACGGATCGAGAGTTAGATTTAGCAATGTGACCTGTTACTACTGCAAAAGGAAGGGATATATTAAGAATGATTGCAATATGTTGCAGGCTAAAGGTGATTTAGCTATAAATCGTGGAGTGCAACCTTTGAATTCAGACGAAACCAATGTAGTTGAGAATTGTTCAGGTAGCGAAGAGGTGATGTTGACCGTGGTATCTGATGTAGAGTCTAGGCCTAATGAGTAGTGGATTCTTGATTCGGCATGTTCACACCATATGTGTTCCGATAGAAATTTATTTTAGGCATATGAGGCAGTTCAGCAAGGTGAAGTCGTAATGGGAAACAACCATCTTACCGTATTGCTGGGGTCGATCGAGTCAGATTGAGGCTGTGGGATAGAGCATTTAGAATAATTGATCAGATTCGACATGTTCCTGACCTGAAAAGGAATCTCATTTCACTAAATACCCTGGATTCAAAAGGGTATAAATTCTCTGGAGGAGGTGAACTCTTGAAGGTCGAAAAGGGAGTCCGAGTTGTACTAGAGGACGAAAAAGATCTCAGTTGTACATTTTGCAAGGGAGTGTAGAACCAATTAAGATGAGGTATTTGGACAAGTTTAGTACCATAGTGGATGTTCAGTTTGGTATAATTCCTCTTATGCTGGGCTATAAGTCGATTCAGAACACTACTAGGGAAAACGTTGGTGATTTCGCTTTGCCACCAATTTCAGCGGATACACCATGCTCAATTGCTGGGGTAGGACTCATCAAGCGTAGGTATCGGGATGTCAGCAATGTCTGGGATGCTTCTAGGGACGTTGAAGGCAATAGTTCCAGCAAGGGGCCTTCTGATCAAGCATCTGGTTTGGTTCTTACTACAGGGTGTGCTTCTGCCCTGTGTGATCAACATTAATTCCTTGGTCGAATTGGGAACCTGGGGGATTAGGTTCGGGTGTTTGTTGTGGACACCAGGCAGAGGACGAGTGTTTGGTTTATATGGAGTAGTTACTGTGTAGAGGAGATTCAACCAGTTCATTTCAATACAGACGGATTTGAAATCTAGGAGTTTTGTACGTTGTACCGGAATTGGAGTCAAGGTGGAAATTGTTGAGTTTAATGACTCTAATTAGGTTAGAATTCTCATTTTGGCATGTTTGACTTTGCTTGGAAAAAGAATCAAAGTGGAACCAAGAAAGAGAAGAAAAAAGAATCCACATGGTTCGTTTGTTGGCATCGCAAGGATTTTTTCTCATTTTACGCGTTTTCTCCTAATTGGACTAGATTTTCTTACCTTTTATGACTCCACTAGGTTTTTGGTTATCGCCTATAAATTAGGGGTAACTCTTTTCAATTTTAATTGTAACAGTTAGCTAAATAGGCTTGTATTCTCCATATTGTTCAATAAAAACATCGTTTCCTCTGCGATAATTTTCTTTGTTCCTCTTTTACAAATTTAATCTTTTTTTTCGGTGCATGATCTAGTTTCACTAAATACCCTGGATTCAAAAGGGTATAAATTCTCTGGAGGAGGTGAACTCTTGAAGGTCGAAAAGGGAGTCCGAGTTGTACTAGAGGACGAAAAAGATCTCAGTTATACATTTTGCAAGGGAGTGTAGAACCAATTAAGAGGAGGTATTTGGACAAGTTTAGTACCGTAGTGGAAGTTCAGTTTGGTATAATTCCTCTTATGCTGGGCTATAAGTCGATTCAGAACACTACTAGGGAAAACGTTGGTGATTTCGCTTTGCCACCAATTTCAGCGGATACACCATGCTCAATTGCTGGGGTAGGACTCATCAAGCGTAGGTATCGGGATGTCAGCAATGTCTGGGATGCTTCTAGGGACGTTGAAGGCAATAGTTCCAGCAAGGGGCCTTCTGATCAAGCATCTGGTTTGGTTCTTGCTACAGGGTGTGCTTCTGCCCTGTGTGATCAACATTAATTCCTTGGTCGAATTGTGGACACCAGGCAGAGGACGAGTGTTTGGTTTATATGGAGTGGTTACTGTGTAGAGGAGATTCAACTAGTTCATTTCAATACAGACGGATTTGAAATCTAGGAGTTTTGTACGTTGTACCGGAATTGGAGTCAAGGTGGAAATTGTTGAGTTTAATGACTCTAATTAGGTTAGAATTCTCATTTTGGCATGTTTGACTTTGCTTGGAAAAAGAATCAAAGTGGAACCAAGAAAGAGAAGAAAAAAGAATCCACATGGTTCGTTTTTTGGCATCGCGAGGATTTTTTCTCATTTTACGCGTTTTCTCCTAATTGGACTAGATTTTCTTACCTTTTATGACTCTAGGTTTTTGGTTATCGCCTATAAATTAGGGGTAACTCTTTTCAATTTTAATTGTAACAGTTAGCTAAATAGGCTTGTATTCTCCATATTGTTCAATAAAAACATCGTTTCCTCTGCGATAATTTTCTTTGTTCCTCTTTTACAAATTTAATCTTTTTTTTCGGTGCATGATCTAGTATACTTCAATATTGTCATTAAATCTCGTTCCATAAAATCCACTTTGGAATCAATGTATGTTATTGGAATTTCCGTGCCCAACACGATTATTATATAATCACTTTTTGGTGTCCTTGATTCTCATCAATCAAGACTCAAAACCTATTCAAGCATTCTTCTTGGTATTCTTATTTGCACTTTCACTGCAAGAAAGCTAGTTGGCATAGAGGATTCTCTCAATGATAAAAAATTCTACTTCAATCACTGGTATTTAGGAAGTGGAGGGCTCGGTGGAGGTGGAGGGTTTGTTGAGGTATTGGTGGGGGAATAGAGGTTGGGTCTAGTTTTGGAGAAGGATTTGGTGGGAGGTTTGGAGGTGGTTCTGTCGGAGGAGGAGGAGGTTTTGGTGGCGGAGGTGGTCGTAGGGGTAGATTGGATGGTGGAATAGGAGTTGGTGCGGAAGGAGGGGGGAGGAGAGGTTTCGGTGGTGGTGGAGAAGGATTGGGTGGAGGATCTGGTGAAGGAGCTGGAGGTGGACTTGGTAAAGGAGTTGGTGACGGAATAGGAGACATTGAGTAAAGAAGTTTTAATCCCATGCATTTCCATTTCATATCTAGTGATAATTTTAATTGCTCAACTAAAAAAAAA